TTTTTTGTCACTTACTATTTCGTATAAAAAAGGCATAGTATATTGACTTCTTTTCCTTCTTTAGATTAGCCAAAATGTGGGAGGGAAGTATGGAATTCACAAACGACCTCCAAGTGATGAGACGTATCAATGGGGAATTCATACTTAGCAACATTAGATCTCATAAGATAGGATTTTCAAGAACAACGCATGTGTGAATTAATCTCACAATTGTTGGGGTTTTAAGTTTCATTCTTTTGAGATGCTTGAAGATCCATTTTCATATGGACAAAACAATATGAAGAGACAATAATTCCTAAACATTTATTGGCTTCTCCCCAAGGCTTAACTAGTAGCTTGGTTAGATGAACATGAAATTGCCATTAAAAAAATGGGCATGAAATGCTTATGACCTAACCAAGCATGCAGCTCAACTAGATGAATATAGTGTTGCCTTAGGAAAAAAAGTGAGCATTAAAAGCTCACGATCTTGTTAGTGCATAATTTGGCCAAATAAACATGATGTTTTCATTAGAAAGAAAAACTAAGCACAAAATGCTCAAGACTTGGCCAACACACAGCTCTGCTAGATGGACATAACATTGTTATCAAAAACAAAAACTTAGCTTAAAAGGCTCACGACCTAGCCAGGTATGTAGCTTGCCTAGATAGACATAACTTTGCCATTAGAAATAAAATGGACATGACATCTTAGCAATTTTTTAGAGTATGTTTTTTTTTAATGCCAAGTAAATAGATTTTTTCAAAACTATAAAGATTGAACTATAAGACAAAATTATTTTTCCATGGAATTTGTTCATGTCATAAATACTCGAGCAATTACAAGAGTAGAGAACATGCTTATGAGTGAAAATTTGGAGTCTTCAACAAAGCATGTGCAATTGAATTATTAAAATGATCTACTATTTCAACATAGCATATGGTGTGGTTGAATGCAACCTAGTAAACATAAATGTCAAACTATTTGTCCCCTAACTTAGCCGGGTCATTGGAAATGGCATTCACGTGGTTGTTATAACGATTTTGATGCTTGTGAAATAGGGTTTTCTTGCATAGTATCTTCATTGTCAAAGATGATATCCCCTTTGTTTAGTTTTTTATAAAATAAAAACCTCAAGTTGTGATAATTTTATATCAAATTTCCTATGTATCTATGGTATTGACAATTAGATTTTAATTGTCTTTTTGGGATGGGAGTTTCTTCACCCATGAGAGGGTAACAACTTGTTCAATCACTAAATGGTCTAACTTAGTCGGATCATTGGAAATGCCCTAAGCCTTGTGTTGGGCAAGACCTAACCTCACAATTTATTTGTCGTGTATCTTAAATCCATGAAAAAAAAAAAAAAGATTATCACATAATAAAATTAGCTAAATTAGCTGAATTAATTTTTATGATCAAATTGAGTTTATATGGATTTTTTTATTATTTATGAAAGTGCTTAAGAGTTAGTTGATTTTTCGAAGCGGATATAGGTCAATGAAAATTATCAACTCTCTTTTTATCTATTTTTTTTACAAAACCGAGTACCTCTTAAATTTACTTTATGTTGATTTTCAAAATATTATTATTATTTTGTATTTGTTGAGTCAAATTATATTTGGAATTTTGAATTGGTGATTATATATACTTGTGATAGTGTTTTAAGTCAATGTTATTAAATCGAGTTCGAACTGTGATCTAGTTAAACTATTGTATCATTGAGTTATTGAGTTAATTAGTAGATTACTTGTCATATAGTTGGTCAATTTGTATTATATAAATAAGTTATAGTTTTTCTCCACATGAAGCAAAAACAAGAAATGATAAATGGTAAGTTTATAATTTTAGGAGGTGGAGGTGTAAGTTCAAGTTTGACAAGTTCTCAACCCACTAGTTGCAGCCTTTAATTCAATCACTTTTGTCTAAAGTTATCTTAATCGAAAGAAACACAACAAAACCCACAACAAATCTTGAATTTGGTTGCCAGTGAAAAACAGTTTTTTTTTTTTTTTTTTTGAAATAAGTTTGGTCGATTATGAAGAGGATATGTGTTGATGATATACTATGATTATAGTGTATTCTGATATTTTCATGAATGGATTGAGATGGATTTGAAACAAAATTTGACAAATTTTAAATGTTTAATTAATTGGTCGTGCTGGATGAGCAACATCAAGCAAGTGGCAAGATGTTTTGTCAGTAGGAAATCAATTGGAAAAATCCAAAATAAATGTTGCATTTATGAACCGAAAACCATTGAATGAAATTGGGCATACATGTATTGCAACCTGAATCATTTGTTAACATACCAAAGGGAAGGGAAAAAAAAACGTTGAGAATATTTGCCATTATAGAAAGTCAAATAAGCACCTACTATATATCCAAGAGTTGATCATATTATAAAATGAACTAAAAGAGTTATAGGGTGAGTTACCATAACGTTATTATAGCTATAGACTCAATTGTGTCGTAAATAGAAGCTTTTTTTTTTTTTTTGTTATTTTGTAGCTTTTTTCAAGAGATTATAAGGCAATGATAAAAAATTTTATACTTTGGCTCATAATATTTCTAACATTTTTATTTTGATCCAGAACTTTATTTGTGACACACTTTGGTCCTTAGATACAAATTGGAGAGAGAAACGAAGAGAGAGAGAGCATCGCCTAAGCTTATTTCGAAGATTTTGACTGACAATATTGGATTCAATTTTCTATTTAGATTGTTGTAGGTTCTTAGTTAAGAATCAATGCACACACAATAACAAATCATGTTTTTTTTTTTTCAACTAAAAATTTATAAAAACATAAGGAATACTTAATTAATACAAAATTTTGATTAAAAAATACTTATATATATTTTAAATTACATTTGATTCGATATATTTTAGCAAATTCATAATATAATGTGAACTATTAAATTGAAATAATTTAGCTCTATGTGATCTGCACCGTAATGTGGGCGACAAACTAGTGTAATTCATATAATTTATTGAAACTACTTAATTTGCATTTATACCATTAAAAATAAATAAATGATTTATTAAATGATGTTTCTGCTTCTTCTTTTCTTTTGTCCAAAAAAAAAAAAATGCCTTCTTTTCTTATAAATTCTTTCCATCTTATTTTTTTCTATTAAAAAAAAAAAACAATTCATGAACTTTAAATCATTTGAGATTGAGTCCTCAAACTTTTAAATTAGTTTTGAAGATTTTTGAATTTTAAATTTTTTGAGATCCAGTCAATTTGTAAGTTTTGGTAAAAAATAATAAAAAACCCATAAAAAAAAAAACTAGAATTAAAATCCTTCATATTCAAAAATTTATCTCCCTCCCCTCTTTCTCTCTTCCTCGCCACTCCCTCTCCTTCCTATATGGTTGGAAGAAACTTACAAACTTAAGCCACGGTATAAAGATCCATGATGCAAAAGTGGCCAGGCCCCAGCTCCATCATGTATCTCATAAATGCATATTGGCTGGCCTGTTCTTTCTAGCTATCCTTCTTCCTTTAGTTTGCTTCAAACTTAAGCTTTTCAGATTTTCGAGCTTTGCGATATATCTCATTCCACAGACCATGACTTTTATCCATTCTTTCTTCAAGTACATAGGAAATAATTCTCCATTTCAGCTGTCTTTTCACTAAAATTGCACAGACATGAAGCCGGAAAATAATCAAGACAATTGGAGAAATGAAAAAATAGATATAGTTTGAGCCACGACCGTAGAGAGGAATAACATACCTCCCTTGCTTCCACCGTCTTATATTCTTGGAAGCTTTTTATTTCCCTTAAAACATCCCAATCTAATTCTATTGGGACATCTAGTACTAGAATTTCAGTTCCATTCTCAGAGATGCTAGTTGAATTAACGTAAAAAAAAAAAAAAAAACAAGAATTAAAATCTTTGCTGCTCCGGTGCATGAGTCACCAAATGCATCCATTGATTAGAGAACGAAGGAGAGAGAGGGTTTGAATATGAGGTTTTAATTCTGAGTTTTCCGTTATTTTTTATGAAAATTTTTAAATGAGTTAAAGCTTAGGAATAGTTAGATGTATTTAGTGATGTAAAAATTGATGAAAAAACTAAATTATAAATAGATTAAAAATAAAAAATCATTATACATAGTTTTCGAAATTACAAGGACTAACTTATAAGTTTTGCTAAACTATTCAACTACATCGCCAAAGAAGAAAAGGAGGTGGCTAATGCGGGAAAAGAGAGGGGCCCAAACAAAATCCCTCCAACATCGTATTTGAATTTGAAATGAAAAAAGAAAGCCCCAAACCCTTCGTCCTCCCCTGCCTCTCTCACGTTCTTGGCATCAACAACTCAAAAAAAATAAATAAATAACCATTACTCTCTCTATATCTCTTATATAGTAGTAAATTGAAATCAGACAAGAAATGAGCAAAGCAAGCGCGCTCTCTGTCTCTCTGTAAATCTAAAACGTAGATCTTGGCTTGCCACCCCATCTCGTATTTCAAAACCTTAACTCACCACCAATCCCTCTCTCAAATCCATGTGAAAGTAGTAGATACAGATACCCTTTTGAAAGAAATCAAGATTGGGGAAAGGGTTTATAAATCTTGTATGCCTATTTCTTTATTTTTGCTTTTTGGTTCAAGTCTTCATTTCAATTGGGTGTCAAGAATTTTCCTTTTTGAAGTTTTGGCTTTGGGGTTTGGTGCTAGAGGTGTTTATTGAATTGGGTTATAATTTTTTTTAATTTAGGCTACAGGTTTGGTGCTAAAGTTCAATTTTTTTTTTTTTTCCCTTTCGTCATTGAGTTTGGTACTAAAAGTCTTAAATTTTGAATTAGGTACAAGGTAATGGAAGATCGAGGTGACACGGGAAGACCCAGATCTGAATTCAAGGTTGGTTTCTTTCTTTCTTGGGAGCTTTTGAGAAGTTTTATGTTTATATTTTGGTTTTCCAGATTTTGGGTTGTTTTTAGTTGGCTGGTGAGAAGCGGACTATTGGTGAATTGGGAGAGAAATCAGAAGTTGCTCGAAAAAGATTAAAATGCGTGATCTTGAATCTGTGCTGAGGTCTAAAGGTAATGCTTTTATTAATTTTTTGCTGTTGCTGTTGCTGTTGCACGTGCTTGATATTGAATTTGTGTGTATCTGGGATATTAGAATGAAGTTAAGTGGAAGTACTGCAAACAATCTACTGCCCAGTAATATGTCTGGTTTTTCATTTTCAAAAATTGGAGCTTTTCTGCGTTCATCTTTTTGAAGATTGCACATATTTTCTGATGTATGTCTTTCTTTTGCACTTTGAATTGGAGCAGGACTTCATAATGAAATATTAAAATACTTGTTAGCTCAATAATGCGAGAACAAGACCAACTAGAAACATTTAATTAAAAACAAAATACGATGCCTAGACACCTAGGATAGTGATTGAGTTCAACAGTGGATTTAACTTGTATGTGGCCAATTGAATTTCCATTTTAAACATCGATTTAAAGTTTTTGCTTTTGTACTTTATAATGCCCCAGAAGCAGACGCCAATCACTCAAAAAACAAAGAAGACAGTGACCACTTTCAGTTTAGTGAACAGGTGTCCCAAGTCTCCACTGTGCCTGTAACCTTGGACCTCAATGCTTTTCGAGCAGAAAGGAAGGGAAGGACCACATTATCAGTTGAGGTCACTGCTGCTTCTAGGCCACTAGATCTTAATAGTGAAGCTTGCATTGCTAATAATTTGGTGAGAAAGGATATAGCAGAACATGCTGATAATTGTAATGAAGTCCCATTGCTCAAGAAGCATGAGGACAAGCATGGCAATAAATGTGTAACCTCAGTTGGCAATGGCTTGGATCTGAATGCAGAGGATGATAGCTCTGTGAACCAGGAACTGTTCCATACTAACAAGGATCATGATAATTCGAGGGGTGTTTCTGAGTGTGGGAGTACTACTGGTCCAGTGCAGGAAAAAGATCCATTAAGAATGTGGAAGGAAATGAAGCAAAATGGTTTCCTGTCATCTTCATATGGAGGGATTTCAATTCAAAGTGGTTCTATGTCTTCTTCTCACGGAGGGATACCAATGCCAAAGCAACGTGGGAGGAAACCCAAAGATGACGTTCTCAAGAAAAAGATGGAACTTGCAAAGAGAGAGCAGGTTGATAGGTTTACGAAGATTGCTGCTCCAAGTGGACTGCTAAATGGCTTGAACCCTGGGATCATAAACCATGTGAGAAACAAAAGGCAGGTCCATTCCATAATAGAGGCCCTGGTGAGGTCTGAAAAACTTGAAAATGGTTGTCTTGAAAGCAAACAAGCAATCCATCTAAAATCTGGAACTAAAGAAACCAATAATATGAGTGATTCTGGAATACACCGACTCAGTTTTTCTCATGGAGAAGGGAGTTCGACTTCTCTATTTGGGAGCAGGCAAACAAGAGGGCACCCTATATCCAATGGGCAGGGTGATTTTAGCATCGTAGACACTGTAAATGCTAGAAATTTTGCTCCACACGCTGCTGTCAGAGAGGATGATGCTTTGGCATTGAAGTTGTCTTCATCAACTAATGCCTTGGAGGATTCTAGAAGTGTTCTGAATGAGGAATCAGCAAACAGCACCAGTGTTTCTTGCCTCTCTCTGAGAGGTGAGTATTTAATTTTTGTTTTAGAGGGAATTAAAAATTTAATATATGCACATTTATGTGTGATGTCAAGGTAGTGTAGGAAGTGCAAGATTCTAAATGTATTGTTTATCTTCATAGACTTTTAATTACACAACAGTCTGAAAGCAGAGAACATCTTAACTGAAAGTAATTTGTTTTTCTACTTTCAGCTGCTACTGTTTCTTCTCAATGGTTGGAACTTCTTCATCAAGACATTAGAGGACGAATAGCAGGTACTGCTTTATAATGTGAACGGTTACCAAGCATTATTTTAGATTGCAACATTGGGTTCATATGACAATAATCCATTTCTATACTTTCAGCATTGCGCCGAAGTAGGAAGAGAGTCCGAGCTGTCATTACTACAGAGTTACCTTTTTTAATATCGAAAGAGTTCTCGGCTATCGAAGTGGATGGTTCTTATATTATGAAAAGTTCTTCAGAAGTTGTGTCCAATAATGCAACAGCAGCCATGCATCAAGCGAGATGGAAAGCATTGTTTGATCAGTTGGACAAATCACTTTCTGAAGAGGAGAAACAACTTGTAAGTGTAATTGAAGAGACAAGTTTGTTAGCAGTTCTTTTCTTGCTCATGTTATTAAATTCTACTAGTAATCTAGGGATGTGTGTTTGTGAATTCAACTCTACTGATTCTGTTGTGATTTACGATGTTTTGGTTTTAACATATCTGACCGGGCAAATTCAATTGCCTGTATAATACAGTTTCTGAATACAAAATTGTTTTCTTCATGGAATTGAATTTTTTTGAAAAATAATTTTTCTGCAGAGCTTATGCTGGTATAGAAAGTTCATTCTATTAAATCTAATTTCCATCATAAGCTTACTTTGGCCATCTCTTTTCTGGTTTTGAATTTCAGGAAAGTTGGTTGAGCCAAGTGAAAGAAATGCAACTGCACTGTGATCAGGGATTGCAACATTTGCACTATAATGCAATTTTAGGTTACCCCAGGTAAACTATTGCCATTACTTCTGTCAAACTTGTGGCTGGATCTGGAGTAGCATCTTAAATTGGAGCTCATGTTATATGGGTATTGGAATTGGAATTGTGATGAGTAAATATCGTGTATTGACAGTATCATCAATATACACAATCTGTTTTGTCAGGATTCTTTTATTCATGCCTCTTCATCTGGCAAATATTCTGCAAGTTACTTTATAATTATGAAGCTTTCTTCAATGTGCAGAACTGAGAAAGCAGATAGCTCCCAGAAGGAATTGGCTGTTAGAGCTGCTGCAGCTTCCATCTATTCAACATGCAATTTCCTGACTTCAAAGGAGAACGTATCTTGTTTTTGATCTTATTAACAAAAGTGTCTTCCTCCTGTCTCTTTTATGGTGCTGAATTCCAAATATATTAGCAAACTACTGATCTGTTCTTTAGCCTTGGAAAAGCTACACTGGATAACGAGTTTATGACATTTAGTGGAGCTCCCTTGTTTTAATAAACTAGTCAGAATTATCATAGTGGTAGATTGTTATAACTCTAGTTGATAAAGGAAGTTGAGAATTATCAATCATTGACTATCAGGTTCTTTCATGTATTTTTCTCTTGGTCTAATAACAAGTGTAGTATGAGATTGAATCTCATATCATGAAATGGCACTCTTGCTCTTTTTTTTTTTTTTTCCTTTTTCATACTTCGGTTTTTCCTTTTGTTTTCATTGATCTTTTGAACAGTGTCCATCAGAAAAGGTATTACAGTTGCTTCTCTGGTCTCTACATCCTGAAACAAAACTTGCCATTGATTGACATGAGTCTTAGTTTCTAGTAGATGCTGAGCATATAAACATATGGCTAACTAATATTATGCAGGAAGCGATGTATCTAGCTCAAGTTGCTGAAACGTCACTATACATAAGGTGCTCTTTTGACATCGATGTACATTTTCCGGACATTTGTAGGTCATACTAGTGTATCTGAAAGCATAGTTTAACCTGTTGAGTGCAGAAAAGGCCGTTTTCCGGAGAAAGCTGGAAGGGGATTTTTCTTCACTTCAGGTATAACTTTCCATTTTAAACTAGTTATAAGCAACAGTGTGCCAAAGAGATTTGGTCACAGAGATTACATCGCATTGATTCAGATGGTAATACTAGAATAGCAGAAATTTCCTGTCTAACGTGGAGAACTGGGGCAGCACAGCTCTGAATGGATTAAAGCAATTCCTGAGATCTTGTTTTGGGAAGTTTAAGGCTATACTTTAATCTGGCCAAGAACCTTTGAATTCACTCTAGTTTAGTTTAACTTGTCTCTTGGGACACTAACAATTACCAAGCAAATATTTATCATTATTGAGCATCTGTGAAGAGATTAAAAGCAAAATATGTAAGTTCTTGGTGGAGGTAGCGAGAAAATGAAAGAAAAATTCGTTGGGCTGCATGGGAAAAACTTTGCAGGTCTAAGCGCTACGGTAGGATGGGTTTTAGGAGGCTGGAATGTTTCATCAAGCTCTCTTGGCCAAGCAGGAACGGAGACCGGTTAACAATTAGGAGCAATTAGATTTGCAAAGTACACATTAAAGACTGGTCTAAAAATAAAACGACAAGTTAAGCTTCTCCAGAAAATTACAAGAAGGAAAAAACTAGGTTTCTAACCTTTTTTGGCACTTATTTATATTTAAGTTAAGGATTTTTAGACTATAAATCCACTTATATTTAGGATAAAGGTAGTTAGAAAAGGAATTTTTAAAGCATAACAATGGTTTTGAATATATTTTATTAAGGTATTTTTTTCTTTGTTCTTGAATCAATTAAACAGGTCTACTTGGAGAGTACCCGTCACTAGGTGTAACATCCACTTAAATGGAACCATGTGGACGAATTGATAATTGTAGTAAAGTTAATATGATTTAAGTGATTTAAGAAAATTAATAATGCTAGTTTGTTATTCGTATTACACTGTTATCAAAACGTTAGAAAATACATGCTTTATGTCATTAATTGATTAAGAAAAATGGTACATAAATAATTTAGAATAACGTTGAAGAAATAATGCAATAAATAAATAAATCAACGGTGCCTATTTAATCATTAATGTATGACACATAAAATGCCCTCTAGGTAGAGTTGCCTATATTGCAACTCTTAACCACCATTCACACTCTAATTTACAATCTATTGTTGAGCTCAAGCATCAGAAGCACTCTCCCTACTATATATTTTAGGATGTTGCAACAAATTATAAGTAAATTTGTCTACAAGGCATGTGCTTTTTTTTTTTTTTTTTTTTTTTTTTTTTTGTTTTTGGGTATCTTTTCAAGTGAATTTTAAGAGGATGCAACTTTGAACATGTATATTATATATGGTTTCAAAAAAAACTGAATCATAAAATTATATCATGATTTAATACATGCTTTATCGTGAGAAATAATGTTTTTATGCTCCATAAATTGAACTCACATAATAAGAATGGACATTTGTTTTTAAGATTTAGCTTTTATCACGGTAGACTCTAGGTAGCATATATTGTTGAGAAAACCTGTAAACGACCCTAGAATTTAAATTCAATCAACAATTGGAATCAACAGAATACAAAGCTTTTACCACTACAAATAAGTAGCATAATAAATTTATAGTCTTGTTTTCGTAGTCTTCCATGACTATCAGGGTCTTAAATCAATGGTTGGTGATTCATTGATGATTAAATTGCACAGTACAACTAATCATTTTCAACATGGATAAATCTTCTATTCTCAGACGTCAGAAGAAAGTTAAGATCCATTAAGGCATCATTTGAGAATGATTATCAAAAAAAGAAAAAAAATGTGTTGTAAAATTATTAAATACCAGGTACTATGATGAGAAATGGTGCAAGTATTACTAGAACAACATGAATCAATGATGGAAATTTTCTGCGCAGTATCGAGTTAAGGTCTTTCGGTGAAAGAAACAATAGAACATGTGATAAGAAATGTGTTATACATCAAGGGATGGGATTGTTTGATAAAGATGAGGTCTGATAGAGGACTTTATAAATATTGAATTATATTTGAGTCGTTTGATGGCTAGTCTTAACAATAAGAGAAGGAAACTATCCAAAATTTTCTTTACAAAAAATGAGTCAAGCTTTCTCGTGGTAATTGATGCATGAGATAGGTATGGGAGAAATCTAAATAACCTCTAAATGGCAAGTATTTAAGTCAACTGCTGACTGATATCAAGTCTTCAAGCACTCTCGTCTAGTAGTTGAAGGTGTTTCGAGCAAATTTGTTTGTTAGTTTACGAAGCCTTTGGAATGTTGTTTCAAAAGAGCCCACATTTGATTTTTAAACTCAAATAAGCTGAAATAAAAGTTCTTGGACATTCTAATCTTGTTTCAAAACAGATTGTATATACTATTTGATTTTTTTTTTTTTATTAACTCACACATAGGAATGGCAATGCGGCATGGCGAGGGCGGGGATGGCCATCCCAACCCCCGCCCCACCCTTCTTCTGAAAATTTTGCCCTATCTCGGCCTCGTGCTCTACATGGGGCAAAATTTGTTATACCATCCCCACCCTAAACGGGGATGAGGATTCCCACGAGGCATTGGTGCCTCATTTAATTTTTTTTCATTCTCGTCTTGTCCTATTCTACTATTAAATTTTAAACTATAGCAAAAAAATGATAGTTCATATAGAAAATAAATCCTAAAAGTCAATAGTCACATATTTTATATAGAGTATAATTATAATTTTAGAGATGAAATGGGGCAAAAGGGGCGGGGTAGGCAAATACCATCCCCGCCCATCCCCGTTCAAAATAAATGGGTGCCCCACCCCTCCCCATTCCCGGATCAACGAAGGGAATCCTCGTGTTGATCGAGGCGGGACGTGCCAAATTGCCATCTCTACTCACTCACCCAAAACACCTAGCGGAACTAGTTTGTTAAGATTTAAACCTATGATCTCTTATTGCAAAAAATCATTCCTACCGAGCTACAAGCTCTTTGGTACTATTCGAATGTTCAAAGCATTCTTATTCGTTATAGTACTCGAATAAGATAAGTGTAAAGGTTTTAATAAGCAAAAAAATATAGTCGATCGAAAAGAATATATTTCATTGAGCTTTTTGCATAAAAAGCTTTAATTTAGAGAGTTGTGAATAACAATACTAGTTGCCATAGAGGGAGTGAATGAAAACAATAGTTTTTTCCAAAATTTTTGCAAAAAAAACTAATTTGAAATCGGTCGATTGTTCTCATGTAAGAATTAACTCTTCATGAACATGATATACCCGCAAGTCACACTCGGTCAAGTCCTAATAATAGGTAATATGTTTTAAAAAATGTCCATTTTTTAAAGATTTATAGGAAGTCTTCAACGACATGTAAGACAACACAAAGAGAAGTTCAATAATTTAAGATAAGAAAAGACTATAATTGAAAAGGCCACAAACATGCATGACAACTAATAACCAAGAGATGTAATTATCAAACGCACTATTGTTTGATAATCATTTGGTATCTTTTTTGGTCACTCTAGTTTGAACTATTGATATTTGATTCATAATTTGTTTCTTTAAATATCACCAAAGTTGTTTGATATTCCTTGTAATAAAAATTGGAATTAGACATGATGCTAAAAAATAAATAAATAGCCAAGCAAAACAATAACAAAACTATAGAAGATAAAAAAAGAACATATGAGCATAAAAGAATGCGAAAAGAAACTAATCAAACCTAAAAACTCACAAAACAAAAAGGGCAAACAAGACACATAAGAACCATTAATAGGAAAACAAAACGGGAAAGCTATAAGCCCAAAATAAGGACAAATATCAAAGTATAGGAAAAAATTAAAAGTTTTATGTATAAAAGAATAACAACACACTAAAAAAAAAGAAAAAAGAAAAAGAAGAAGCATTATGAAATGCAAACATAGAATAGAATGCATTTAGAGGAATTAAAAACCATTAAAAAGGGCGAGAAAAGCAAAAACAAACTTGAAAGTCGATACAACAAAAACATTCTCTATAGAGTTGGACTTGTAATAACAAAAACATATAAAAAAATTATCAATTAAAAAAATCTAAATCAATTTGAGGGAGCCGATAATAAAAGTGGAGACATAAATCCATGAAAAATATCAAAATGAGAATCACCACACCAAAAATCTAAGAATTAAAAATAAAAAAGGAGAAAGAGAAAAAATAAGAAGCAATCAATGACAAAATAAAGTTCTCTACAAAAGCATAGCAATCAATCTGAAGGCTACTCTCTAAAAAAATCACCTTCCTAATTTATAAGCAAACTTTAAGATAACAGGGTAATAATCTCGGCATCCAAGCAAGAAGACAAACGAATAAAGTAAAATAGAATAAAAACGCTAGCCAAATTATAATCAAAGAATAAAAAGAGAGTCATAAAAGATAGAAAATAAGAAGGGAATTAAAGAGAAAAATAAACCTTAGGATAGGAAATGAACGAAGAAGCAAAAATGAGAGAGTGGAGAGAGAGAGAGATTCTCTAGACTATAAACCATTAGGAAATGAATCGGGTAAGAAAATATAGTAGAAAGACAAAAACAATTAAATAATGCATAAATTTACATGGTTCACTAATTTTTGTCTACTCTACAATTGCATTAGAATTTCTTATTAGGATTTTATCACATGGCAACTTCCAAATACAAGATATATTATCCCTATTTATAGTGTCAAAACTAAAGTTATATAAAAAAAAAAGGACGACTAGGATTTAGCGAGACCGTCGTTTGTGTAGTGCCATAAACTACGGGCTACATCTATATCAATCATCACAATGTGACATAAATACATCTCCTTCTAAATTATAGAAAAAATGAAGGGAAAAGGCTATAAGAAATTTGCTAAATAGCAAAAAATTTTAGCGATGAACTTCAAAATATCACTAAATAGCTATTAGATAGCATCGGATTAGTTTACATTACATTTAGCAATGGAATAGATATAGATTTATGACTAATTATCGATGATGAGATAAATTTTTGTCGCTAAATATGATAGCGAAAACTATCCGAGACTTTTAGCAATGGATTAGAGATTGATTAGCTATAGAAAATAGTGATAGGTTATTAATCTCGTCGCTAAAATTTTTTTGGGTTTTAGTGATGGTATAGGTTATTAATCTCATCACTAAAGTTTTTTTTGGCTTTTAGTGATGGCCAATCCGTCGTTATTTAGCAACAAGAATATTTTCGTCACTAAATGTTGAATTTTTTAGCACTCGGAAGATGATGTAAGATATGGTGATAATGAGGACTAAATTTCTTTTTTAAAAATATTTTTGAACATCTTAACATTAATATATTTATTTTATTTTAATTTTATTTAATAATATAGCATGTTTTAATAAGGTGTTGTTTATATGTGTTTATTGTTACAATTATCACTAAACAAAAATTCATTAAAAAAAACAATAACAATTGATTTAGCGACGGAATAAAGATACGAAATTACAACGATATTAGCGACTAAAATTTAGAGATAGCACAATTCGTCACTATATAGTGATAAAA